TGTGTGTGTGTGTGTGTGTGTGTGTGTGTGTGTGTGTGTGTGTGTGTTCAGGCCAAATGCAGAGCCCAAAGGCAGCAGCAGGACAGCTGAGGAGATGGACTCGGCCCTCAGCAGTAACACAGCTGGCTCTGACCCGTACCGCTACAACATGGACTATCCCCGCATGGGAACCTGCCTGATCATCAACAATAAGAACTTCCACAGAAGCACAAGTAACTACACCCGCTGATGCACAAACACATACCTGTGTCTGTCATGGCATGGTCATCTGCACAGACGTTCTGTAGCTGTAATAACCTTCTAAACAAACATAGTAGAACATAGTGGTATGTTTTGTCACACGATGTATCGGGACATACTGAATAGTGTGGTAGTGTGGGTGTTGGAGCGCACAGTGCGTGTAATGACCCGGATGTGTCTACGTAGCGGCCGTGATAAGAGCTGGTCGAACTCGACCATCCTTTACGAACGAAAAGGAGATAATGCCGTCCCACAATTCCTTGCAGCAGCATTTAAAGACAAGGCAAACCCACAGCAATAAGGTCGCATGATTCTCTTAGCACCGCCGGGGGTCTTTCCCTCAATCTTCATGAACTCTCCTTCCATCGAGGTGAAGGGAATGTGGTTAGGAAATGACACAGGACATCTTTTTATTTTTGGCAACTCGACCACAGCTTAGGTCTTTTAACAGAGAAGACATTCTGACACGTCACAGGCGTACATAATAAAATAAAATCAGTTTTAGTGTCCTGGTGTCTTGATGCTGATCACTGTCACTGTCGTGGCTTACTGGGGCTCTGGAATGAACACAGCCTACGTTAATGTAGTAACATCTGTCATGAAAAAGGATCCGATAGTCAGTCAGTCTGAACTCTAACCTGTGTTGTGTTGTGTTGTGTTGTGTCTGTCTGCTGCATTCCTACCTGTGGTTTTTGTGCGTCTCTCCAGGCATGAGTGCTCGCAACGGGACGGATGTGGATGCCGCCGATGCAGTGAAGACCTTCTCTAAGCTGGGCTATAAGGTCAACGTGGCCAACGACCAGACCACGGAGCAGATGAAACAACTGCTGTATCAAGGTGACCTCATCTACACTCTGTCGTTCAGCCGAGGTCTCCACTGCTGAAGTGACATGCTCCCCATCTGCTTATCTTTAGATGTATCTTTATTCATTTTTAAAACAGCTAACTGTTCAGTACCCGTCCATGAAAGGACCTGTATGTTCTTTCAGCGTGAGAACTAAAACTGCTAGATGCTAAAAGCGCTTTCCTCAGGAGAATGCTAATTGAAATGAGAGAGTCTCGTTTTCCATCTGTTCTTCTGTGTCCCTAGTGTCCAAGGAGGACCACAGTGACAGGGCGTCGTTCGCCTGTGTGTTGCTGAGTCATGGAGACGAGGGGGTGATATACGGCACGGACGGCTTTGAAAAGTTGGAAGAGCTGACAAAGCACTTTAAAGGAGATCGCTGCAGTAGTCTGGTGGGGAAACCCAAGCTCTTCTTCATACAGGCGAGTTACCGGGAACGTTCTGCTCCTTCTATGTGGACGTCCGGTCCGTGATGATGGTAAATGTAGTCAGGTGAAGCAATCCATTCCTCGGCGCGTGCTATAATGAGTAAAGCTGAGTCCTCCTGCCTACATGTACCAGGATGCATTGCACTGAGGAATCTACTGCTTTAATTCACTACATTTTTCATCAACACTGAGTGGACATCCACATATGGACCTCGTCGTCTGGGTCCAGATTCGGACCGCGGTCCGTCTGTTAGTAACCCCTGATGTAGCTCCTGTAGATGCTGTTAGTGACCCCTGATCTGGCTCCTGTAGATGCTGCTAGTGACCCCTGATGTAGCTCCTGTAGATGCTGTTAGTGACCCCTGATGTAGATGCTGTTAGTGACCCCTGATCTGGCTCCTGTAGATGCTGTTAGTGACCCCTGATGTAGCTCCTGTAGATGCTGTTAGTGACCCCTGATCTGGCTCCTGTAGATGCTGTTAGTGACCCCTGACGTGGCTCCTGTAGATGCTGTTAGTGACCCCTGATCTGGCTCCTGTAGATGCTTGTTTCGTAGTGGAAGGCCTGTGTCCACATAGCGCCCTTTTCTGAGCACCAGTGTTTGGTGCTGATGGTGAAAAACTATGTAAAACTAACAAACAGTAGCACAAATAGATAATACAAAGCAAAGGAGCACTGCTAGTGGATCGTACAACGGTGGTTAGAGTGGTGATATGTTGTCATAGAATCTGCTGAGTGACTATGTGCAATACAATTACCTTGTGCACCTGGATTTCCTTGTCACCCTATCCAGGCGTGCCGCGGGTCAGACCTGGACGGAGGATCCCTCATTGAGGCCGACAGTGTCGACGCGCAGACGTCGGAGAGGATTCCTGTGGAGGCCGACTTCCTGTACGCTTATTCCACCGCTCCAGGTAACTTCTGATGGAAGCCTTTTCTATCAAACAACTCACGTCCTACCCGTGAAACCACGGATAGGACGTGAGTACGTTTGTTGTTTATGTGCACCTTGTTTCACGAGCATTTAACTCAGCAAACCGTCCTGCAGGCTACTACTCGTGGAGGAACACTCGGAACGGGTCGTGGTTCATGCAGTCGCTGTGCGAGATGCTGCTGCGTTTCAGCGGAGAGCTGGAGCTGATGCAGATCATGACCCGGGTCAACCGCAAGGTGGCGCTGAGCTTTGAGTCCGCCTCCAACCTACCCGGGTATAGCGGCAAGAAGCAGATCCCCTGCATCGTCTCCATGCTGACCAAAGACTTCTACTTCCCTAAAAATTAAGACTGTCTTTACCTTTAACAACGACTAGCCTGTGGGAAGCTTGAGTCAGAAGGGACCATGCTGGTATCGCTAATTCCATTTTCATCCATTGCACCGTCGTCACATTTCTGTATCGCATAGCTCATGTAAAACAGGACAGCATTAGTTTTATTGTGACTCCAAGGAGAACCCACATGCATTAACAATACTAGGAGAAAAGGGAGCAGATCAGAGCGGTTTATGGGGAGCCTGGATTATTTTATTTAATGATTTTTATTTTTAGTGTTTGGTCTAAGCCAGTTTTCATTCTATCTTTGATGGTCATGTGTTGCAGAAAAGATACTTACGGGTGTGGGGACAGTTTCCAGGGATGTGTTTTCACTCGGCCTGCTTCAGCGACTGCACACATAAACATTAGCAAAGGTCGTGGAGATGTGGACTTCTTCTAATAATACTGTATATTTAAAGGGTAAGCAGTGGGTTTACCATGTACAATGTGTCTGTTTTTAACAGTTTGTGTATGAAATAAATGCACAGAGTGAAATAAAACATCAGGCCTTCATCACATGAAAACACAAAAGGTTGGTTTCACTGTCTCTTTAAAAATGTAGTGATGCTCATGTAGCCGAGATGAATCCACCTTAATCGAGCCGAGCAGCACTCTGATAATGATCATGATGCTCATGATAAGTGTGAGTACTGTAGTAGAATATCTAGAATACTTCCACTGTAGTTCTTGCTTTTTGTACGACATTACCGCTGTACTCTGGGGATGCTTGCATACAGGTAGCTGGGATTGATGATGGATTGAATACGATTACAGACAAAGCCATTGTCCAGAATACAAACAATAAAGCAAAGTTTATTTCCATTGTGGTCCTCGTTTTGTTTTGTCTCCACTCGGATCGCGAGCAGGATGATCCGTCAGTAGGGAAGCACTGGGAGAAGTTATTATTGTATTATTGTGTCGCTATATAATATTTGTCACATTGAAAACTCAAATATAACTCCGTACGAACTGGGAAAGATAGGTCTAAAAAAAATAAACATGCAAAACAAACAAACTATTTCACATCCATTTCTTTACCAAATGTGTCGAACTGCTGTCAGTCTCCTGCAGCTTATTTGGAGCAATGTGAAGCTTCTTTTTGTGTGATTATTGGAGGACTTCTGTACCAGGAGGTGGCAGCAGAATCACCCAAACACCTGGCAAGAACATTTAATATTACACTGTATATCAGGGCTGCTTTGTATTTAATCTATTGACACATTGAGGCCTGGAGATAACAGAGTGAATAGTGAGTCAGGACTTGGCCGCCTGCTGTTTTTCTCATCTTATTCGTGCGCCTCGTTGTAGAACATCTCGACTCTCCTGTCCGTACATCCACATCGACAGAGGCAATGAACCTGCTGTAGAGCCCGGTTGTGTACTTTGCTTTGGGAGTATTGTCCAAAAGCAGTTTCACGTGAATGATTAACAGTTTCTAAGGACCGCTTTTGGAAGTCAGCGGTGAAACATGTGAGCGCACGGCCACTAGAGGGCGCCAGAGAGACGTGTAGCGCAGTTCTGAGGGTCCGTCTCTCTGTAATGAATCAGCAGCGCTTCAGAGGTGCGCCATTCCAGGAACTCACATTGTGGTTACACGTTTAACCCCTTGGTGCACGCGCAGACGAGCAGGTGCCATGTTTCATTCCAGCTGTCGCTCTTGTCTCTGTGTGTCTCAATACTTTAACAGCAAGACGTAGTATACAAATAACCCTTGTTCAAAGTATTATGTTGCTCTATTAGTTTATCAGACCCCTCCCCAGTCTTGGCTGCACGTGTGTGTGTGTGTTTGTGTGTGTGTGTGTGTCAGAGGGAGATAACCCTGACCCTGCTGGTCCAGATGGCTGCTACCTGACGTTCATAACGTCTTCCTGTCACCGTTTACATATATTTAGTTCAAATAACAGTGCTTTTTATTCAAACATCACATGTTCTGTTCCTGTACTGTGCTATGGTTTCTCTTTGCTGTAAACAGAAAGGGCCATGTAGGGGGCAGACTGTATTCATCTGAAGATGTACGAAGTTTGCACGTTACTGCTTGAATAGCTGCTTTGTGTGTTTTTTATTCTAAAGCTTTGGTTTTAACATCCCTACAATAATACAAATTAATACACTTTCATTATTTTTACAAGCCTATGCAACCAATATTATCATTTGCTATATATATTCAGATACAATTCTGTTTTAAATCATGTTAATGAATGGTGCAGTTTTGGTAAGTCTGCAAAACAACTTCCTAATGGAAACTTCTGTGTTCAGTGTAAAAATGTACTTTGCTCGTCTTTCGAACCCACATTTCTAACTATTGGACATCTGTTCGGCGCAGGCAAATATAGTGGAAATCTGCACTTTCATAATAGCAGCAGGTGGGCCATCTAATCTCTCTCTCACACACACTCACACACACACACACGCGCCTCAAGTTTCTTGTTTCGTTTCCAGCATTAGCCGTGTAGAAAAGGGTGGAGTGGACGAGGAGGGGAGGGGAAGGGGAGGAGGAGACACAGCAGAGGAAGTGAAAATGAAATCCAGCTCAAAGATCGTCTATGTTTGAGAAGAGGATGATTCAAAAGTGGGCATCCCTCAGCCCCCAAATGTGCTCCGACGCTCTTGAACTTTGACAACATTGTCAACTGTAAATCACACTTTTAGTTGTTTACTCAACCTTACATATTTTGTTGGAATAACGGTGTACACGTAGAATATCATCGACAATGGTTCTCAACCGTATAACTAAAAAAAAGGGAAACGATACTAAATGGTGTTACATTTAGATCATAAAACAAACAACTTAAGGAAACTCAAAGATATATCAGAAATAAAAATCAAAACAGCAATGAATAAATAAAAAATGACTAAAAACATTGCCCAACAATATTGCGGTGGCAATGTGATTATTTCGAATTACAAAGAAGAGTATTGAGAGTAAATATTTGCAACAATTGTATTATCTATATAGGACACTGGTACACGGGGTAATTTAATTTTATTATTTAATTTTATAATTTTGTATACACTTAGGGTGACTATAGTAACATTTGTCCAGGGACTACAAATGAAAAAAACAGCCTTCTTTCTAACATTAGTTTTAGTACTGCTCTGTTAGTGTTTTCATCAATGTGCTAAATAAATAAACAAAGCACGAGAGGCGGCGCGCGGTGGCTGCATAGACGGCTCGGTTGGCTTTCGTGGCACCAAGAAATGAGAAACAGAGTGAGCCCTCTTCGTTCGGGCGCGCACGCGGCCAAGTGACTTCCGCGACGCCGCTCGGATCGACCCAAAGCGAGAGCACGAGAGCAGGAGGGGGATTTCCAGCTCGAGCCCCCACTTCCCGAACCAGCCGTTGTTTTGCTTTCGGTCTGGACACAGAAACAGAAATAAACGACGGCCACCCTTTTCCTTTTTTCTGCTTAAAACCACAAACAACTTCACTTGTCGGACTTCAGCGCCGCTTGATATTGTGACAGCGGGACCGTGAGGCTGCAGGCCGTCCGGACTGAACAGGTAACATTTTTATTTCCGCATATTAACGCCGTTGTCTCGCGCTGGCACAGGCTTCCCACAGGACGACATGACGGCTCGCTAGCTCGATGTGTAAGTGAAAGTACTGCTGTAGTTTCTTCTCTGCGTTTGTTGACTAGCTACGGTATTTATTTTCACTTTTGCCTCGGCTCGTTTGTGGGTCAGCATGCTAGCAGACAAACAGACGTGACCCCTTATTCAACTGAAATACTAAATATACCTGTTACGAACATTTCCCAGAAGTCACAGCTAACATGCATGGGACTTTTCGTTTTATTAATATCTGGTAACGTAGTATTAAAGGGAGTGTTTTTTGTCAGTTTGACATGTTTAAAAGCTTTGTAGTTTTAACTGCTGTGTGAGGGAAACTGGTTTGCCTGTGAACATTATTCATGCTGTATTCAGGTGTTCGTGCGTGTGTTAGTAAATTAGAGTGCTGTCAGAAGTATGTCATTTGAACTGCACCTCAAGTAACGTGTCATGTTCTGCAACTTAGACCTGTTTGAGTTAAATGCTCACACAGCCTGCCTGCCGGTGCGATTTAACTATCTATTGAAAAGAAACAGTAAATGTGACTCATGCAATTAGACAAAAAAACACATTGCTACATAGTAATATAACCAGCAGTGTTGGTCTGACACTGAGTTATTGAATTATCCTCATGGTTTTCTTGCCGTTTGTTGCATTTTAACTATGTTTTTACGACTCCAGCTGGACAAACTTTCTGTCCAACAATTATAACTAACATACTGTACACTATTCCTACTACCACCTCTTCAACGTTGGCCATGGTTATATAGAAGCTTGGAGACTGTGGCTCATGAAAATGGATCCTATTTTGCACTTGATGCTGCGCCATGTCACCCTGTCTGACCTGTTGGGAAAGCTCACTCTCCTGTCAGGAGGCAGTGCGGTGGCTCACTGGGCTGAGCGGACTTTGATCACACCAGACAGCAGAGATCATAACCCTGCTCTTAAATCAGACGGGGTGGGGTGGGTGGTGTTTTTGGCCCGCTGTTTGAGATGAACATGCTGCATTCGTTAACGTCTCTTACTTCTTCCTGTCGTCCACTCTTGTCTTCTAAAATGTGTCATTCAAGATTTAATGCAGCCAGACAAAGAGGGTCAATATGTGGACTGCACGGCTGCAGGAGCTGTCGAGATAGTGCGAGTTCACTGTCATGGGCTTGGCAGGAGTTTTATCTTTACGACCACAGATAAAATGGATGGAACTCTCCCTTTTTTTGTTTTGCTCTCAAAGGATGATTGTATAAAAACTAACCTTAAAGGTGCAGTGTGTAGGATTAGGATTAGGCCTCTAGGGACCTTAGGCATCTAGCGAGAGGTCGCAGATGGCGACCAACTGAAACTTCTCCCACGTGAAAACATGAAGGGCCCTCGCTAGAGCCACTGTTTGGTTTGTCCTTTCCGGGCTACTGTAGAAACATGGTGGCGCGCTCCGTGCAGGGAAGACGCGCTCCGTATGAATATTAAGCTAAAACACAACCATTCTTATTTTTAGGTGAGCATACACTAAAGAATCATACTTATTAATATTCTATTCCATTTCTGCCAATAGATCCCTGTGAATGCTACGCACTGTTCCTTTAAGTGGTTGCTTCCTCTCACATTGGTTATGTAGCCATATAGTCACATAGCCATTATGTTTTCATATTGGTTTTGTTGTCTGTCCTAAATCCAACTCCTTTTTTTGTCATAATATACTATAATGTAGCAACTTTTGAAGAAAATACTTGTTGAATTGAAATGTAATCTGTCATCAAACATACAGAAGATATCTATAATAAACAATATGTTCACAGAATACAATGCCAGTAGAGAGAATGAGGATGAGGCCGTGGCTGGAGGAACAGATCGACTCCTGTCAGATACCAGGACTCAAATGGGTTAACAAAGTAAGTGCACACACACACACACACACACACACACACACACACACACACACGCGCTGATATGATATTTTGAGAGCTGACACAATGTGAATGTCTCTAGGAAAAGCGAATCTTCCAGATCCCGTGGATGCATGCTGCGCGTCATGGCTGGGACCTTGAGAAAGATGCTCCGCTCTTCATGAGATGGGCCATACATACTGGTAACAGTCACATCTAACCACACACTCATTGTCATACAGACCAGACACCGCACAGGTTCTCTGTCTAAAATCAAAGAATCTTTTTTTTTTAGGAAGAAAACAAAATGATCCAAGTTGTAGGAGTTTAGGCCAGAGAAAGCTTCTCTAAAGGTTCCTCTGTTAGGGAGCACACAGTGGGAGTAGAAAGTCCCACAACTCCTTACTGCATCAGTCGAGAGGAAAATGTTTTTAATAAGTCAGAAATACTCAGTGGGAAATATAATTTATTTCAGAGAAGCAGCTCAAAGGAACCCACTTAGCAATCAGCTGGAGTGTCCAGACGCAGTTTGTTGGTGATATAAATACTCACTAGCAATACTTAACTTACAATAGTTGTACAAAAGTGTTTATGAGATTTACAAACTCCTATTTAACTTTTAGAAATGATGTTTTTTTATATTTATATTTTTTAAATCTTTGGGGGGAAAAAAGGTTTGATTATATCAGCTGTTGTCAAACTAAATAGTAATAACTAAGTTACAGTCTTAGTTGTCTGTGACGTGTGTATGATGTGTCATACCCAGCAGTATAAGTGGACAAATGCAAGTTGCAGAATATATGAAGTAATCATAATTGAATAATTCTGTGCCAGGAAGACAATAGTGACTTTTGTGACACTCTGTAGTAACACATGTGATATTTAAAATTATACATTTGGTCAACCTTCTGTGATTGTCTGTCTCTGTGTGCATGCAGGTAAATACCAGCCAAGCATAGACCGTCCAGATCCCAAAACGTGGAAGGCGAACTTCCGCTGTGCCATGAACAGCCTGCCGGACATCGAGGAGGTGAAGGACAAAAGCATCAAAAAGGGAACCAATGCCTTCCGGGTCTATAAGATGCTCTCCTCCTCAGAGAGAAGCATGAAGAAAGGTGGGTTAACCATCACTGCTACACATTTGAGCTGTCTATATTTACTGAGGCTTTTAAATGGATTTCTGAAAACTGTTGTGTTTCTGTCTGTATGTCCATTTAGGAAAGAAGAAGACGGACAAGGAGGGGAGGCCCAAGAGAAATAAAGAGGTAGACATACACATACATCCTCAAGGAGTTGTTCACACGTGACTCAACCTTCTTAAAAACATTTGATTGCGGCATCAATATCCGGTTGTGTCCTGGTCCGGTCTTAGCTGTTTATAAACTGTTCATAAGCCTCACTTAGAAGTATACTGTTATAGCTAAATACCTGATGACAAACCATCAGCATGAAGCTTACTAATGTCGGTGCACTGTATCACTACACCCCTGCTCTTTGATTGGTTTCTCATCATCATGCTATTCTATCAGGGACCCTGTGTTTGAGTGGACGTGAGTTACTGGTGTGCATACAACTGGTATGAATGAACGTCTGTGTGTACATGAAAGGTTTTCTGCTCTGTATTTACTGCTGGTACAGGTGTTCATCACATCTGCTCCTGTAACATTAAAGTCACTCTTCTTTTTGGACATAATTATCAATCGTTTGTCACCATCAGGTAGCTTCTCCATCTCCAGACAGGACTCCTCCTGGAGCCCATGTGGGACCTATTGACTACACCATGCAGGACGTCATCAAACTGGAAGTGATCAAAGAGGAACCACTGGAGTTCACCATGACGGACAGCGCCTCAGGTACCACACCAGCACTCTGCTTCATTCATGTAGTTGTGGGCTGTGTACAGTCGTACCTGGTTTTACATTTCTGCTTGGATGAGTTCACTCTAAACACAGACATGTTGCTAGTTACGTTCTAATGGTCCTGGCTGTCTGGTTGCCTTGTTGTTGAACGTTCACAGCACAATAACTAAATCATGCCCCAGAACATCCAGTATCTGCAAACTGCTTTCCTATACTGGCAAGAGGAATGGTTTCTAATTAGTACTTATTATGGTATGTATGTATATATATATATATATTTATGTATGGATATGTATGTATGTATATGCATATGCTGATGGAGATAACATTATCTCATCAGTGGGTGGATGTGTAACTAACACACTCTTCAGATGTACTGATCAATAATTAATTTACAGCACTAGAGTGAATTCATGTGTTCAGCCTGTCGTAACGTATCGGGCGTGTGCATTCACAGCCATTCACAGTTCAATAGAAGACCACATGATCGCCAGCGAGCAGCTGCCATTCGTCTGTCAGACCATCGAAGTGACCACTGAGAACGAAGAGCAGACTGTGAGCTCCTCCCACTCGTACCCGCTCCAGATCTCTCCTGTGTCTTCATGCGGCGGTGAGACGACAAACACAAACACACACACACCCACACACACGCATACATCATAGTTTACCATATCGTTGTTATGATGAGCAGCGTAAATAGGTTAGTTACATGGGAACCCCACTTGTGACCAGTTGTGCAGAGCAACCCTTTGAGAGCGTGGTGGTTACCATACATACAAAGCAGCAGCTTTCTAGGACATGGTCAATGGTATGTGTGTGTTACAACACACCAGCCCAAATCAGTTCTTATTATCTGGTGTGGATTATTCAGGGTTCGTACGGTCATGGAATTTTAAAATGGTTATTTCCAGGCCTGGAAAAGTGCTTGAAAAGATAAAATCCCAAAAGTTTTGGAAAAGTCATGGAAATGTGTTATATTCATATTTTCATGTCGTTCATTTACGCCGAGTTGTCAGCCAGCGTTTCTCAGATTGGAGTGACACGAGGAGAAAATGTGATGTCGTGATCTTCGCAATAGAACATCTTTGACGTGTCGAGTCTTGGCCAATCAGCGTTCAGATGTGTACAGCGTCTTCATTTCCCTCCGTTAAAGTTTAAGTTACGTTATGTTCCGTTACCGTTCAGACTTGCTGGGTTAAGTTAACGTCCACTGCATGCAGAACTTTGTCGACTGTTAACGTTCGTCATTATCGCGATTTAGGAGGAAAAAAACGCAACGTGATGAAACATGCAGCCCCCCCGTGTTCCGGTTCAGTTCACGCGGTCGCTCATTAACGTTAAACCCAAACACCGGGGCATCTGGTTGCAGGTTGTTTGTTTTAACTCAAAGTAGAATGAGGATGATTTCGTGGTGATAATAACGTTTAAGATAACGAAAAGTGAGGCCCAGATACTGATGAGATGATGAGGTCAAAGAGCTTCAGGAAGAGGAGGCTGGTTGTGTAGCGCAGCTTGACGCAGGGCTGAGCTGTGAGTGGAGCTGGGCCTGGATAAACATGGAGCTGGGCCTGGATAAAGGTGGAGCTGGGCCTGGATAAAGGTGGAGGTCTAAACAGACGTGAGTACAGCTTCCCGCTGTCACAGTGTTTTAAATACATTGATAAGGCAGGGTATGCTAAATGCAGCCTCTGCTCCAAGGAGATGAACTACAGCAACAAGGGCTCACGTGTCCTCTCATCACACTGACAGACATGTTCACTGTGATGACCACAGCCAGTGTACCAACAGTCCCACGTTGCTCCCAATAACCCTGAAGTAATGAGAGTGTTAAGGTGCCTGTACCTTCATTTCAGCAGGTTGATAATGCAGAGGAGTGTATAGATCACAGCTATTATTTTACTCTTGATAAGCTATTTTAGCCAGAGTAGATTATCATTTTCATTTAAATAATTGAACTGGATTGAATGCATATTAATTGCAAATAGAAGATAGGCCACAATTCTAACAGCTGTACAGTAACAGTGGAAGTTAATATGAAGCCATACAGTAACAGGGTTCAATGAAAACGAATCACTTTATTTGTATAGGCGATGGTTCTTGCTACTCTTGCTATCTTTGTTTTTATATGACTAAAACTTTTGAAAATGAGACCTCGGTCTCTATGGATTTTGTCTAAATAAAGGTTAATAATAATAGAGCTGAAATAGTGATTAATAACTGAATAATAAATTAGTTTTTTTGCTTAAAGGAAATGTCTTATCACTTAATTTTCTTCTCAGAGTACACCAGAATGCTACATTTTAAACCTCATATTTAAAATAAAATTCTCGGAGCACCCCCCCCCCCGACAGGGTTTCGGGCTTATCACCCTTTTCACCTCTC